AAGGCTCCAGTTTTCTTTACGTTTTTAATACTTCCCTCTGCTTACTGATTTATAATATTTGTTTTGCAATTCATCACCCCTTTTATGTTCATGTCACATGTGATCTCATACTTAGATTTGCACAAATCCAAATATATGCCACTAATATTCACTGTTAAAATCATTCTGGGTGATACCCAGATAACGGGTCGGCACATGCTTCTTTTACGAAAGTCACAGTAATGAAAAAAATAATTGACAAGTGTTGTAATCTCATTGTAGAGAAAGAAAACCAACAGATTTAACTGAACTTGTTTTTGTCCATATCTGTTGGAATCGATTAGGCACATGAAGCACTTTAGGATGGGAATCTCATGGATCCTGAATGATCCAAGCATCCTTGAAAATAACAAAGGAGGTAATTACAATGAATGCTGTCCAATGTCATTCACCAACCAATGATAAAAATGAACACGATAAAGATCAACTCGATGATAGGCTGCAATCAATCATAGTGAGCTACACAGGAAAGAACCTCACCATTCTGATGCCAGACCTAAACTACAAAGTCGGGATGGACAACACAGGATATGAAGATATCATGGAACGACATGCACTGATTGGCAGAAAGGAACGAGAATGGAGAGAGATTTGCAAACTGATGTGTGTTAAATAATTGGTTATAGGAGCACAATATTCCCAGTTAACGGCATGCACAAAGCTACATATGTCTGTCCGGATCACACCACGAAGTTCCAGATAGATCATATTTCTCATCAGCAAAATATTCACAGGGTCAATGGATTCATTAGAACCATTACAGGTGCTGACATAACTTCAGATCACCACCTGGTGTTGGTCTAGATGAAACTGAGGTTAAAGAAGCATTGGACAACTGGAAAAGTTTATTACTATTATTATTGTAATTAGCATTCTGAAAAATAAGTATATATTTGCAATTGTACAGCTATTCAACTAGCCACCCTTTGGTGAATGGTCATTAATAAGTAATTAAACCTATCTCTATCCAACCCATGTAACTCCACCTGGAGCGCCTCTGGGGCTACTTCTGGTCCCAAGTCCGTATAAATTAGGAGGGTGTGACATGGGTTAGAGACCCCATCCCGTAGAAAGCTAACTCTCTAAAAAACGTTAATCAGAAATAATAGTCGAAACCATTTAAACTCTGCCCTAGGGGTTAGAAGATATTAATTCAGAAGAGTTATGACGCTTCATGGTTAAAGCCGAATTCCTCAGAAGTAACAAGGCTGATGTCATTCCTGACATTCAGAGCAGCCATTAATTTGGGCGCATGAAACACTCGTACAATGTGGGAGACCGGGAGAGTCTTCCAAACTGCTGCAGAAATGAGGAAATACAACCTGGGGGTGCTCGGGATCAGTGAAGCACATTTGACGCATGGTGGGCTGCAACGACTAGCTTCAAGGGAGCTTCTGTTATACTCCGGCTATGAAGAAGAAAATGTCTCAATTTCACAAGGAGTTGCATTGATGCTATCAAAACAAGCACAAAACGCACTTATAGGATTGGAATCTCATGGACCAAGGATCACCAAAGCCTTCTTGAAAACAAGGAGAGAGGGCATTAAGATAGATGTCATCCAACGCTATGAGCCTACCAACGACTACAATGAATACGCTAAGGATTAATCCTACGATAGGCTGCAGTCAATCGTTGAGAAGTACCCAGCAAAGGACTTGACCATTCTGATGGTAGAACTAAGTGCCAAAGTCGGGATGGACAACACCTGATATGAAGACATAATTGGATGACATAGACTGGGAGAAAGGAACGAAATGATGAGAGATTTGCAAAGCTATGTGCCTTCAGTTAACACAGAATCGAATCGACCATATCTGCATCAACAAAAAATTCAGGGGGAAGATGGAGGATGTGAGAACCAGGAGAGGAGCTGATATAGCGTCAGGTCACCACTTTCTGGTCGTCAAGTGAGGATCGGTGTCGGACAAGACTGCTTACTTTCTCCTTTTTTTCTTTCTTATCGTGGTTGATTTGATTATGAAGACTTCCATATCTGAGTGGGAAGCACGGAATACAATGGATAGCTTGGGTGCAGTTAGACTATTTGAACTTTTTAGATGAACTTTCCCTTTCATTCCACACCCACGAACAAATGCATGTCAAGATAACTAATTTAGCAGCAGTGTCTGGATCAGTAGGCCTCAACACAAACAAGGGAATAAACAAGATCCTGGAATACAATACGGAGAACGCCAAACAAACTACAGTTTATGGGTAAGTTCTGGAAGAGTTGAAAGGTTTCACCTATCCGAGAAGCATCATCGATGAATAAGGAGGATCTGATACAAACGTAAAGGCAAGGATTGACAAAGCAATTATAGCATCCTTACAACTGAAGGACATATGAAACTCATCTGTCAACCAATATCAAAGTCGGGATCTTCAACACGAACATCAAGATAATTCTACTGTACGGAGCTGAAACTTGGAAAACTAACGCAACTATCATCAAAGACGTACACGTATTTATAAACAGTTGTCTACGCAAGATACTCAATGTCTATTGGTTGGATATTATCAGCATCAGCCTACTGTGGGAGAGAACAACCAGTCTTCAGATGAGGAGGAAATTAATAAATTATGCTGGAAGTGGATAGGATATACATTTCAGAAATCACCGAACTGTATCACGAGGCAGGTGCTGACTTTTTATCCCGAAAGAAAACAGAAAAAGTGAAGGCAAAAGAACATACGGCGTTGAGAATCGGAAGCAGACATGAAAAGGATGAACAGCAACTAGAAACAACCTGTAAAGATTACCCAGGACAGAGTTGGATGGAGGGTACTTTTGGGCGGCTTATGTTCCTCCGTGAGCGGAAATAGGCGTAATTAAATGTTCTCTAGACGGTCTAGTCAAGTAGCATCAAATTTCTATTTTACTCAGTCACTTTTCATGCTGCTGAATGAGTAAACCAATAGATTGACAGAATATGACACCTATATCCACATCCATCGTTACAAATACTTCCGATCGTCATTTTATTAACTTAATATTCTAGAGAATTCGTTAACTCAGAGTTAACTAAGGAATATGATTCAACTTATAGTAAGTCCTCCAGTCTGTTTGATCTTTAGGTTTTACATGAAGTAAGTTTTCTTTAAATACGAGGTGTCGATTACTTATATTACTCTATACGTGATAGTTTCATTCTAAGTTCCACAAAGGAATTGGAAAACAGTTTGGCAACGATAAGTAAATTGTTCTCTAGTATTTTTTTAAATGGGGGATTTTGAAAGCCATTAAAACATTTTGGTAAAAATAGTGTCGAACGGCATATCAAACAAACTTGTAATTCGGTCTTATGAAGTCAGTATATATACGGCTTTTTTTAAAGTTACAAACGACTAAATAGTATCCGCGTACGATTTTGTATTTCTAAGTGAGTTTATTTGTTTGTCTGAGATGGCAAATCATGAACTAACAGTTACTTTTGTGATCGTGAAAATATAATACCTATTATAATGAGTATCATATTAAGTTGACTCGCCACTACTTATTTGGTGTTGATTTGATACTAAATTCTAAGAACTGGATATTAATATAGAGCCCTGATGAAGAACTAATTGGGAAGAAATAATTCTTTACTTAACGTGTATTTTAATTGTCTTAATGAGAATATTTGGTTAATCGACAATAATTCATCTATTTTAAGCAAAACATATTTGATTAACAGTAGTATGGTGTAAATCGGCCGTGTATCCTTTACGATTTAAAATGCATCAGATATAAGGAAACTGGGATCTCTCACACAACTAAGGACGAAGAATCCAATCTAAATAGACTATCGTGAGTTCTGTGAAATGGTATCTTGGGAAGATGAAATTAATATGTTTTTTGTATATTCTTTTGTAACACTTTAGATGTAACGAAATTCCGTATAAATAATTTCTTGGTATGCTACACTGTGTTAGATCTTTGAACCGTGATTGTATTCAGTAATACTGTTAGATTTATCTCCTACGTCCAGTCGTAATTGCTATTACTTGCAAACGAACTTTTGTTGATCAAGCGAATTCGTTTTTCTTTGTGATCTCAGAAGGAGCACACAAGTAAAATTAATTTCATAACGATTCTTTTCATTTTGTTGTTTAATGAACCACTTAATTGTAAGTGATAATTGTTACCGGTTCGCTTTATTCATAAATGGACACCTCAATTTGTAATGTTAATATTCTTTTTGGTGTATCGTTAGTAACCGTGCACATTGTCACATGTTGTATAATTTTTTAAATTAGGATGTTGACTAGAATGCATCCGCGTTTATTTTGCGTCTCTTGACTGATTCTCCATGCGGTTAAACGGCCACGTGGCTCCTTACTGAAACACCTAAGTTATACTTGAATAATGGTTACATCACATTTTCATTGTAACAAAACATATAGGCATCCACAGATATAATGTGATATACGTTTTTTCTAATCAGATTTCTCCAGCTAGCAGAACACACAATGTGTCAGTATCAGCTTCAGAGATTTTAAACCATCTCTCCATGTGAACTTTCCTAAACCCTTTTTAATACAACAAATGCTGCCTCACAATTGGTTAACTTGGAACGTAAATAAATTTATTTGGAAGATGTGGAATGTGATAGGGTGACTGGATAAGAATTGCATCTAATCAATGTTTCCGTTTTAAATGATTATAAAATGGATAGGTGAAGCTTCTTATTGTCAGCTTTTGGCGTCTCTTTCACTCCACTGTTTACTCTTTTGGACCTAAGTAAATGATAACATATATAAATGAGTCAATTATGAGTTGTTATTCATGAAATGTACATGAAGCCGGCAAGTGAGAAAAATTTATACCGAGGGTCACAGATATTTTACTATGCCCAACACTTCCTATTGTGAAACGTATTTGAAACGACTGGATTAAAATGACACAACAAGGTTTCACAAGGATAGCTGTCAGACTAAGGAATGTTTTAAATACGCAATGAGTTGTTTTTATCAGTTCATATAACTGTTTTGCGGATCTTTCAAAAGTGTTCGTCACAGCTGACGTCCTCTTCCTTTGTTGATAATTTACGATACGGCTACAGGACCTGTATGCTTATATTAAGATAGTAAACTGAACAGGCTTAATACGTGCCCACTTAGTTTTCACCAAAACGTTTTAACAGAGAATTCTTTCCAAACGTTATCAAAAAAATGACAGCCCAACCAGAATCATTTCAATTCAGTCCTCAATGGATTAGGGAATTATCAGATGATGCATTTAACTCTAGAAGACAACAAAGTCATAGTCCAACCGAAGGTCGGGTTTCCAGCAAATCTCCCAACCTGTTCTCAAACTTCGTCCAGAAACATTCTAATTTTTCTGTTCCCGGGGATAAACGAAAAGGTTCTCTTCTAAATTTGTTGACTATTTCTTTGTTAGATATGGTTGTAGGTAAAATTTCGAAACTTGTGTGGCCAGGTGACACCATTTGCGCACCTTCTGTAGCTGAAACGGACAGGCACGTTTCTGTTATAAACGTACTATATTTATGTTGTTGTTTAACATGAAATGAGATCAGGGTTTGGGGTTAGTGACGTAAACATTTTTAATACATACAGATTGAGCTCCATCTATCACAGTTTATTATCCATATCAAGAACTCTGATTTCAACACCATTTGTTGTATAGCTCTTATCTAAATCTTGTTATGACACCTTTTATGCTCCATTGTGCTTATTATATCCTATCCTGTCCCTATTATTCCTTTTTGGAAAAAAATATATGATAGTGCATCCCTAGTGGTTTTTCCGTCCTAAAGATTTCGCAAGTTTTCGTCATTGCCATTCAATGATTGTAAAGTTAAAATGTTAGGATGATGTTATGCAGACCCTACGAGCCTTAATTTACCTATTCAACTTGTTCATCCTTCCACTTGAGCGTACTGCTTTAATTTTTCTCTCTGATTACTTCAGTTTAGTCATTAACACCTTAGCAATTGTCGTTCCAAACCCAAGTATTATCCTACATCGATTATAGTGCAGTAAGACACCAAAATCATAGAGCAATACCAACAAACTGAAAATATTATAAAATATAGAAAATGGGAAAGTGTCGTACAATTGGTCAATAAGTGAATGATAATATAATTGAAAAGACAGCCAAGAAGATCCACTCACTTAAAAGGGTCTTTCTCATTTTTGTGGATTTTGTAGTACGAAATCACGAAAAGACTCCCCTGTACTTTTCCCCAAGACATAACATTGTCTCGTTGGGTTTTACTCCTTATTGTGACAAGTAAAACTTGGCTGCAGTTCCAGTCACGCATCCATCTTCCTTTTAGTATTAAGCTTGTTATTTGGTAGTTTTCTTTTCTGTTCCGAATTACACTTCATGTATTAGGTTTCTCATGCTCATATGCGTTTATCATTTTAATGTTTTCTACAACTTTTTCTTCATTCTAAGAGAAAATGTAGCAACTTGAACCCCTATTTATTTAATCTAAATCCTACTTCATAATCGATGTTCATATATATATATATATATATATATATATATATATATATATATATATATATATATATATATATATATATATATTCTGACCTGTTTCACAGTCAAGGACAACCTTCCACAGAGGTGACCAAACAGTACTCACACAGCATACAGTTTTCTGACTCTATATATGGTCGAAAATCCAATGCCAATCAAGTCATCAATCCTGCTAGCCATTGTGTTGATACCAACAAACAAGCAGTGCAATGGACTCAGAAGTCCTCTATGATTTCTCCTTCCGAACCGTGTTGGCAACTCCACTCAGACTCAGGCATTGAAACGTCCGTAAGTGTGCATTAGTTTTTTTAAAGAGTTGTGTAGTTTTGGGCTGGTTCATACTTCCAGCAGTTTAAACAACCCTAGGAAGTTTATGATCTATTGTTTTAAGGAGTACACGTGGTTCTCGGCAAATGCATTTTCTATAGCACTTGCACTTGTTAACTCTTCTCTGTGATGCATACTTTTCATTTGTAAATTTCTGGGACTCTTATTCTGTGACTGTATGTTATCCCAAACTGCTATTATCTCCGTTTCTATTAAAGAGGAATAACAAACAGTATTATCTCAGAAACTTCATTTCTGGCTAATTTTTAAAGTATGATATTACCGCAGAGTATAACATAAAATCTGGTTATGCGAGGATTCGTTAGAAAGTAAGTTATCGATACGTAGTAGATTAGCGTTTTCTTCCAACAAATTGTGCTCTGTTTAATGGGACTAGTGGTGCTACACGAACCCCCAAACCGAAATAAGTGGGGTGGAGTTCGAACCCAAAAGTTATTTGCTGAAAGTCGAACGCCTTAACCGTCGACTCGCCGCTCCACCTCTCGTGTTGGTAATTACCACTAATAGTTGGTTTTTTTAGATATAATGGATTAATACATAGAATTATTTCGAATGGCTTTTGTTTTATAGTTTAATTTTTATGGCGCTATAGTCACTAGTGTGTGTGTAGTGTTTAATATTGTCTCTGTATTTAGCTTACATGGCTTTGCACTGCTAAGATGGTTTCATCGGGATTTAAAAGTAATGGTATATAGTTCCATCCATTTGTTAGTAGCATACAGTTTTGACTCGACTGATCATTTTCAACCAAAACTAATCAACGTATAATTGAAATTGCCAAAGGACAATTGATTCGTCTATTTTCAGAGTGGTCCGTGATTTGGAATATTCTAGTATGTCTCAGTAGTCTTAATAGTTATGAGAAAAATCAATTTGAACCAGATAGCACAATTTTAAGAGCGTGAATTTCAAATTATGTAAAAATCAGAGCGTGTTGAATAAGTCTGCGGTTTCTATTCCTGATTAAGTAAAATTGACTGTTTTTTTTCAGGTTAACAAAGTACCAGATACAATAAGCCTGAATACAACAGGTCATTCTTTACCTTCATCGAGTGCCCGACCTCTCGAAGTGCAGCATGTAGGGGGTTCTCTCTTATCAGGAAATTCGTCAGTTGTAAGCAACCCAACGTTGAATATAAATTCTATTTTACCTAATGATGGTATCCCAGTTCCCCGATCAGATCCATATAGTCACAACACTGATTCATATAATAATCAGAGTAAACGGGCTGTCAGTGCTTATTATGGAATCAATGATCCAGACAAGGTATCAGTTTTGCGTTTTACGATTACTTTTACTTAAATTCAAGCAATTTCATTCTAATAAAAACAGCTTCAGTTAAACGAACTTAATAAATCATAACAATGTTTGAATTGATTTCTCACTTGTGCTACAGACATTGGGACACACTCTATAAACCACTGCTAGATGTACAAATCAGAGCAATGAACATTGATGTTATTTGGTCCACCAAGATGACTTGACTGCCGTGTCATCCGAATGATGTTCAAGTCTGCTTTACAGTGCTTCATAGAACGCTTGTAGTATTGATATTGAGTGTATAATTCATTTATCATAAGCGACCATATACTAAAATGTAGTTGAAAACTTTCTATACTTGTCTATTTGGAAAAGAACATTAGAAGAAATGCCAAAGAAACAAGATATGGGATTCTGTAGCAAAAATTAATTTTGATTAACGGTAGTGGAAAAACTTTATCGACAGATCCGATTGATGCTTTTTTAGATCTGACGGTAAGGATACTATCTTCAAAGTGGCTTAAACTTGTTTCTTGTAGTTGTACTGGTAAGTAATTTGTCTTCGTTGAGGTTATCTCGAAAACTCGTCAATGCTTTAAATTGTTACTGTGGCATCACAAAAAATCATTCTATCAGTTTTCCAAGGTAGCAATATTAGTAACTTGTTTATCAATAACAGGGTTATTTACTGATTTTCAAACCACACGTTTTGTGCGATGGCTAGTGGTAGGTAACACAGGAGTTGAAACTGCAACCTCTATCGTTGAAAGCCACGTACTTCGAACAATGAACTACCACTTTCAAAGTCATGTAAATACTATATTAACAACTCACTTGACTCCCTTTCCTTGAGATACGAAAGCTGTAATGATCATCCTTCTCCTAATTGCGACTTAACTGAAATTTATGTTTATCGTTTTGTGTATCGAATTTTATTAAATTCCTCGACGTATTAGTACTACTTCCTCGACTGTGTTACCTTGAATACAAAGTATAAATCTTAAATAAATTTAATTGTACTATCATACTTCAATTTCTACGTTCAGTCGACAGCTTCATAACACGTTTTAAAATGATTTCTGCTTTTCCTTCTGCATTGTCATGACTAATTTATCTCTTTTGGATTTCTTAACAAATTGTGTTATAGACCTTAGATTCCAGTGTAAATTCAAACGCTATATGGATGCAGCAGCATATATGGTCAAAGTCTGTTCCACAGCACTTACATGGCTTTAACCCTATTGATTCCACCTCCAACTCCGTATCCAACTTCTGTGGGGTCGCCGCTACTGAAACTAATAGACATTCTAGCTGCAGCGTTCCTGACGCCGAAAACATACGTGGTTTCTTTTCACAATTATCTTCCTTTGATCGACTTGGGCAATCAAATTCAAGTCAAGCGTATCCGTTGGTAAGGGAATACATGGACAATCATATGTTGAGAGTTAAATGCACATTAGGCTTTTGATATTTGCTTGTATATTTAGTCATATCCCTGTTTGATGTGTTGTGAGATATGTGTTATTCAACTCTTGATATTAGGGTAGATCTTGAATGTATGCACTGCAATGGTTGTAAGTATTTGGCGAACATCCTACAAAATTTCGACCAAGATTTTCAAAGATGAGACGGATTATGTTAAAACTATTTTATTATTGTCTTCTGCCCATTTCTTTCATTAGTCTAGATTCTTACTTCTCTGTAATTTGATCACTTGGTATGTTAAGGTCTAAAATCCATGTATACTAGTTGTACTTTGAATAGTCCATACTATTTCTGTACACTTGTGAATTTGAAAAAGTCTTATTAAATATTGATTTTACACATTTTTTAGTTTCGTTTGCAACATTTTGTATAAAACTGGTTTTTTCTATCTGAAGTTACTACAACCTTCTCTGGTAATATACTGATATGAACAAAAAATGCAGATACATATCTGTATTATAAACCGTAAAATAATTTTTCGTATTCCACTGAACTATGAACATTAAAAAATATCTCTGTAGAACAATATTATCATGGATGATATTCATATTTCGTGTTGCTTGTCATCGAATGATTTCTGTGGATCTGTAAGACGACGTACCATAGTAAATTTTACTAATCTGTTTTAGTTCTATGAGTGTACCTGTTTTTGTGCTCATTACTCACTGAACGATAATGTTTATAGTTGTGCACACAGGCCATAAGGTAAACTTTTACTCTTTTTCAGACTATTTACAAGTTCTTCGACCAGCCTGTTAGCTACTTAGTATCATAGGATGTTCTACATTTCAACGTTTATATTTGTAATTATATTTTGTTTTCATATGTATGAAGATTTTTTTAACGTTTCTTCTTTAGGTTTGTGAGACCTGACATTTTCAAGTCCAGTTTATTCGACCACTCTTTGTGCTCGATCATCGTTCTCCTGATGATTGCCGGCATCAAATGGCAAAACCATGTTAGTATTCTCGTGGTTTGGCGTGCGTGCTCAGAAAGTGACGATAGTTCAGTTAGTGTCGCTACACTGTGTAACATTGACGTGTGGCATGGACATGTGTTACGAATGTCATCCTAACAGCTTCCACATCCTGCTTTATTTGCCGACACTGAGATAGGGTGTAAAGCAGCTTACTAGTGGTCAGTTTTTGACATGGTGTCGTGGTGTGAAAGGAAGCTGTATGAGACTGGCATCTATCAATTCATCAAAATTTCGGGATCTAGGTGGTGTAACTCAGTGGCCTGCTCGTAACAAAAAACCATTGATAATCCTTTTGTAGTCTTTTCTCTTACACTTCATCAAAATGAAGGGAATTTTTTTGACTGAAAAGGATCTCAGTTTTATTGCTAGGTGAACTATGTCTTCTGTCAAAATTTCTTATCGAATTTTTCTTTTCGATTGTACTCCCTTTCCCTCATTTCTTCCTTCACAAAGTTTTTATAGCCTATTATACTCCTGACACCCAGGTTTCATGTTTTTTAATTATAAATTTTGCAATTTTGTTTTGCATTTTAGTCGAATAGCAGTGTTCAACATCCTCCTAATGTACTGAGCGCAGAGAAAGGTTTCGTTAGAAGTAATGGATCTGACCAGTCGGATGAGCATATGTGGCTGTATGAAGATCCACAGGGTCGGACACAAGGTACTTTCAGTGATGCACAAATGAATGAATGGCTTATGGCTGGGATTTACTTTACTCCAAATCTTCGTATACGACGTCAATGTGATGATACATTTTCTACTCTCGGTAAGATGTCTCGCTCTTCAAAACCATTCAATTTGTTATGCATCGGTTAAAGTACTTTTGGATTTAAAATGGTAGGTGTTTTAAACACTATAATGCTTTTACACGTAGGGTGCAATTCATTAGTAAGTTAAGAGTATCTTCATTTGTTAATTTTCAGCATATATTTGTTGCGGATTAGATTTATTGTGATTTGATGGACGGACTTTCGATCGTCAATATGAAAGCAGAATGTTGACCGATATGAAGTACACAGTGACATGTTGTGGTTAAGTGATGATTGCTCACGAGACCGATTTAATTATGTAAACTCTCAAATGATTTGAAGTCAAAGATAAGACCAACAGTCAGGAGAATAACTTTTTTACATAACAGAATGATATGCCACAAATTAAAATGTCATAGGCTATTGGACGGAATAAGTTTATAGATCACTCACTCGCCAATCAGTTTAGACCTAATTCCGAGGATCGATTTTTGGGTATGGCACCAATACTTCAAAATAATCCAAAGGACGATGAAACAGTAGAGATGGCATTTTTCAGATCTTTACAGGGAAGTGTATTTGGAAAATCAGTTTTCAACTTAATAGTTGTACTCGGAAAGCTTTAAAATATACATTAATATGAGTTCGAACTCGTCTGTTGTTACTTTTAGGTATTATTTAAAGGCTAGAGGACAAAGCTGACTGAAAAATAAACTTTTTTCTTCCGATCAGTTTTCCTTTTTCGACTATTATATATTGTGTGTTTAAAATACTCTGTTAGACTGTTCATGGTTATCAGTTAGTTCATCTAATCCTAATAACGAATCGCAGTCAAAATTCCATGTAAATTCTAAGTAACCGTTAAGTTGAATCGTAGATTGCAATCCTCTATATAATAACTATGTTCTTAAAATGAAATCGGATTCCTCAAAATTCGCTTAGCTATTCGGTTAATAAATCAACATTTTATTCGTGCAAGCTGATAAATTATCTTACGTAATTCTAATATTTTATAACAACTCATTACATCTATGTGGACAAATATATTTGTTCTGTCAGCTTTCAATGTTTTACATTTTTTCGTAAAAATTAAGCATTAAAAATTAGAGAATGACATTTTTCTTGCTATATTTGTTGTTTAGCCAGTTACACACAGTTGTTTGAACGTGTTCCATTTGTTTCTGGTCCTCGAATACCCCCTATTCGTGGAGAGATCAATCAAGCTATGTTAGCTCTGTCTTCATCTGGTTTCTTGAGTAAACCACATTTTAAGAACTCCGATAACCCTCCGACAGATTTGTTACCTTGTAATTCAACCAATCATGATCAATCAGAGGGTAGTAGAGTAAATGCAAGTATGGTTGGAAATTCCACAATTGACTCTAGTCGTTCATTGTTGTCAGAACCACAGCACCAGTTGTACCAGCAACTTTCAGATTTTTCCGTAAGTTTGATTTTTATCTTCTCAAAATCTTACTACCCATAGTGGTGTACCTAAAATCCATGTACACGCTTCTAGAAACTACTTTATTCAGCGTTGTATCCTTGAAGTTGTTGAGTGTTTTTCTAAACATTCAGTTTCTGTTTTATTTTCTTTGCAACGTTATCCTAGTATGAAAATTTTTAATCGTTCGTTCCCGTCTTTCAAATTAGGAATATTTCTCTTGTTTTCTTCAGACATCAGCTTCTAACACTACAACGTCTGCCGGAATATCGGTACCTACTTGTCAAGTTACTGAAGAGGGTTTAAACACCACAAATTCTAAAAGTCTTGCCTATGGCTCTATCAACACATCAGTTTCTGTGAGTGTACCCATGTCCTTGCTAAACAATTCAATCAATAATCTAAGAATTCGGGACAATGCAGAAGGAGACTTTAAATCTGTATTAGACGATCCTAATAATGTTCAACAACACAAACAGGCCATTTCTTCTGCCCCGACATTCATGAACTTAACTTCTTTGATTCCACTGAATCCATCCTTCCCATCTTTTAACTTGCAGTTCCCCTCCAGACTTCAGGGCACTAATGGAACTACTATGGATGATCTTACTTCAGCAGCTAGTTCATTTCTATCTCCAGGTTTTTGGTCTGTTTTAACCCAGTACTTAAACTTGCATCCCCCGTCTGCAAATCAGACTTCTACTCCCATGCAGCAGCTCGCAGAAACAGCGCAATTGGCGGCTCAGCTCGCAGCACTGGTTGGTTCTCATAGTCCGGATCAAACTCCTATGCAGCCATCTCAGGCGTTAGCTTTAGCGCAATTACTGATTACTCGAGTAAGCTATGACCCCTAGGTAGTTATCATGCTTCGTTCTTTTTGATATTTTGCAACTGTGTGATTTTGCTATGCTCTAAGGTTATGTAAGACTTTGAATGATTATTTAATAAAGATAAAATAGATTTATTAAAGGCCGTAATATTTGTGATTTGTTATAGATTACATTTATAAATCCTCTAAGTTTAAGGATACACATTTGAAAAAATAGTAGTTTCAGTTCTAGCCTTTACATAAAAGACTTCTCAAGTCAAAATACACAATCCTTGAAAACACATTGTTTCAGAAGGCATTAGTTTGTCAGAGAAGCATATGAATTTGCCGTTGAGTATCGTGTAGCACATTTTTTCATTTGATGTGATATTTCTGGACATTTTTAATGTACCAGTTCTCTTTACACTTTTATTACTACTTTGTTCACCGACGAGGAAAGCTAAACATCAAGTTTTTTAGATTCATAACATGGAGTCCTTTCTTCCTCGACAATCTAGACTAATACAATTCCTGTTTTTGTTATATTTTAGTGTTATTTCGTCTTTTTAGGGAGTCGGGTTGGGTAATATCAACGCAGAAGCGCCTTCTTCTAACGGTTTGCTCACTTCTAAGAAGGATAAGCCTTCTGATAACGAATGCATTGCCAGTTCATCGATCTTCCATACTTCGGAAATCAGTGCTGTAAGCGAGCGACATCAAGAATCTCAAACACAATGGCCTTCTCTTGGTTCTACGCTAAATCAAAGTGCACCTCATTGTAGTGAAGGGTAAGGAGCTTACTTCTTTATTATTCAAATCCATTGCATTTAAGTTGGATTTGTCTGTTCACTTAATTTTTATGTGAAACCGCATGTATGCTTTATATTGTGGACTGTAGCAATTTCCCCAAGTTTTTATCTAGCAAACAACATTCTTAAATTGTTTTATGATGGATTCCTGGGTTCAACTAAATTATTGTAGTCAGATAAATAAAATAAAATTACATCCATCGTAAACATTGTATTATTCACTTGAAACTAATAGTTTCCCCCTAATAAAAAGATGATAATGTAACTCCATTTATCAAGCTCAATTTTATCTATTCACTACACTGAGTGAGGATTAGCGGTAATATCTGGCTGTCCAAACCCAAGTAAAAAAAGCGCTGTTCAAACCTTCGATCTACTAGGCAAAAGCTGAGTGTTTTAATAACTGAAGTGCTTCTCCAACTAATTGTATTTCTTCTTTTGTACTAATTTATACACAGCTTTGTTTTTAATTAATCAGTTATACAAATGTTCCCTGAAAAGTAGTGTTTTATTCCCCTACTATTGAAGCGCGATAAAAAGATAGGATTTTGGAGAAATGGCGTTCAGTTACTGCGGAATCTCACAATCACTTATTTGTATGCTGTTTATTCCTGTGTTATTTGTTTTTTATCCTTTTTGTAGGCGATTCAATCCAGCACCACTTAACAAGGTATCTAGTGAGTTATCTTATGGGAAAAACTGTGAGAAAGACTTGTCGGATAATACCTCTGCTGTCAGTCAGAATCTTCATAGCTGTCGTCCAAATTATTTAGACAAGCCTCAATCTACACTTTCAAAGCCGTCGACTAGTCCTCGATCGACTAATGTTAAGTCTAAAATCCAACTAGATTCAACATTATCTGAACCTGTCCAGTCAATTGCTTTAGATGGATATAACCGAACTCAGCAAAATGGCCGAGGCCCCAAAAATACTGAGGTTTGTTCTGGAGGTTCTGTGCGCAGTACAGAGCAGAAACAGACTGCAATTAGTTCGTCTCGAACAGGGTCAACAAATCAAAGCAGAGTTAAGGTTAGTAAAAAGTAATAATTCAGCTATTTTCTTTGGTAAATTATCTTTTGCACTACTTGTTCTGTTCATACTGTGGCATTCGTTTTTGTTAATTAATTTAATTATTTTTATATCATAGATTGGAGGGCATTATTATTAGTTGACACTTCATCATTCAAAATTTAAATTGCTATAGTTCCGGGATTAGTTTAGAAGTTGTACAAATAAGTTTTTCTTGGGCATAAATGAACATAGATAAATATACTTGCGTTCTTTGGCTTATAGCTTATGTTTAGACCCTCAATTTCCTGTCAAAAGGGATATATTATACATCGTAATATTTTCCGATGACTATAATAAGGTAATACTTGTGTAGTCCATTTCTACTTTTGTTGTTAGTTAAGCTTTGGATAGTTAGGGTTACTTCCCATGTTTTGAATTCTTATACCTGTTTCTGCATGCAGTCTACAAAGTGTCTGTTAGCATTGAAAGTCTTTTATAGTTTAATAATACTTTTATCTACCATTGGTGAAAATTTCTTGATGATAGTACTAAGTATTTCATCGGTTTTTAATACTATAGAAAACTAATTGTTTTTATTTTACTATGGTTGGTGATAATCCACTACGTAGTCAGTTTAGACCCCGAGTCTCATATCCGTTTGTCCTAATTCCATTATGACAGTTATCTTTTGTTTTCGTAGTCCAAATGGTCCCATGTTTCTATACGAAAAATATTCCTTATATAACTAAATAATAGTTTTATGTGGGGGGATGTTATTTCTTTTGGTAAGACCAAACGATCAGCTTGCTAGTGAGGATTTGGAATGTTTCATTTTTGGATTCTAAATAAATACACTTCATGTCTACTATACACCTTTGAGCTGCTCGTAATAACAGTGAAAATCTCAAAAAGCGAAATGCCACTCACTGATTCATTTCGTCATATTAACCACTGTTCTCGTCAACTTCTAATTATGAAAACATATCCTCGATTTATTTAATTCTCTTCAAAATTTGTATTGAGGGATATGTGAAGACTATAGAAGTTTGATAGCTTAAATCAAGAACTAATTTTAAATAAACTACCATTGAAAACATGAAAGCGCAGGACGACCGTTTTGTCGTAGAATGGAACTCTTTAACAATGCACATGCACAACCCCGCATCCGAAAGTCGGAAATTTGTTTGAATTTATCAGCTCTATAACTGCGCAGCAAATAGTCGTGTTGTTATTATTTGGAAATTTGTCACAGGCCAGTAGTGCTGTTTGATGATAATTACTTGGTTTAATTTCTTTTTGGTAAATTTCAATATATGCTGTAACTTGGAAGATTGGTTTTGTTGTTTTCATGCAGGTGTGAGTTCTGTGAAAATATTTTGAATCTCGAGTATATCAACTTTTTGACGTGATGTACTTGTTGATCTCGGAAATAGTATAATCTTCCCTACCCATCGTTATTTATTGTTTTTTTTTGTCGTCTTAGTTTTTGTTCTGGATGTTTGACTATTATGGTCTATCAATAAGCTTACTATTTTAACGTTAATCATTTTGTAAATGTTTTTGGAAAACTAAATTGTTCAACGTTTATATGCATACATTGTCTATAATTATTTTAAAACAATGTTAACTGGTACTTGATCTAGTATCATGTGTCTTTTATATTTTGAAATCCCATCGACCACTGGTTTCAAAATCTCACACTGCTTTCTGAAATAGTTGGGCAATAGATGTACATCCTTGTTTTCTCTTTCGGACATCAACATAATGATGTAGATCTCTCATTCTTTTGAAAAGCCCCTTTTTACGATTATTTTTTTTCGAATAAACGTACTGTTATACTGTATTAGTCCTTCAAGCATTATGAACTTTTCCACTCGCAATATAAATGCGAAACATATTTGCAGACAAAACTTTAAACAAGCGTTCTGCTCTAATTTTTTCCATACTGTCTTTAAATATTCATGCTTTTAGGGGTCTAAATCAAACAACGTCCGGTCACCTACAAAGGCAATCGTTCAGAATAATTCCTCGTCATCCCAGGTATCCTCTAGCGTGAATATTCGTCCTACGGAAGCAGCTTGCACCTCAGTTGCATCAAATTCGGAAACAGATCCTGACCAGACAGTTGAGGATGAACTCAAAAAGCTTACTCAGTGGTGTCAATCGAGGCTTGGTTCAATGCCGATGCGCGAAAAGGTGGATATTCCTACTGTTGTTGAGTTACTGGCTACACTGGATGCCCCATACGAAGTAAGGCATATTTTGATAGTCTACATATTTTGTCATCTTTTTCCATTCCTGTGTATTATACGTGATTCCCGACCGTTGCTGCTACCTTGACGTGGTGGTCGGGCTTGCCTATCGTGATGAAGCAACCGAGCTATACTGTCTGGAACAACTGCTCCTCAAGGTCCTACCATGCCACACACGTCGGTTGAAGAGCAGCAAGACTAAAAGCAGCAAACGCAAGTTCCGAAGGCGAAGTCGTACTGTTGACTGTACAAAGATGTGACGGTAGTTAGATGTTTCCTTAAAACAACCAACATAATAGCGATGTTGCCTTCCCACAAGGAAGAGTGGGGTTAGGAAAGGTCGACCCTAGAAATGTCCATTTCGCCTTATCCTAAGTATTTCCGTATCCGGTGGTAAGGTTCCAATAAGTACGGAGCTAACACGAAAATTACCCACAAAAAGATCGTGTGTGACCGACATCAAGCAGTTGTCCCCTGGGCACTGCGGTAAAGCTCTCAGGTCACTAAGACCACCTCTAATCCCATTTCTTTTTCAGGTACCTCCAGAAAAACCCTTCCACAATGTGGGCAACTGGGAAGTGATAACCGCCCTCATACCTCTAACAGCACTCATGATCACTGTATTCATAGTTAATCTCCCTCTTCAATTCCTATTGTTCCTCGTATGTCGACGTTCATCTCTAAACCTTCTCTTTTGACTTCCTCCTCAAGTGTCACTATGGCCAAGGATTCTAATGCTCGAAATACTGTCCCAGGTCTACTGAAACCTAGCTCCAAACTACACATTGGAGCCTTCAACGTACGCACCCTATGTCAAATCGGTCAGCAGGCTTCCTTAGTTAAAACCCTAGAGTCTCTTTCCATTGATGTGTGCTGTGTCTCCGAAACACGCATACAGGATCCTAGCGTGGTCATTCATTTGACCTCACCTCGGCAAAACGGAGAGCCGACGAGATACACCCTCCATACATCTGGTGACCCGATGGCTAGTTCTCGTGGACTGGCAGGTGTAGGCATAGCACTAAGTACGAGGGCAGAACAGGCACTATTAGAATGGATCCCCGTCAACAGTCGCCTTTGTGCTGTTCGGCTAAACGGCTCCGTAAGAACTCGGAAGGATAGGGCCACACGTCGTTGCCTTTTTGTCGTTTCTGCCTACGCTCCCACTGTTTGCAGCCCGGATGAAGTGAAAGATGACTTACAGAAAAATTTCTTAACTTCTTCAGAAAGCTAAACGTTCAGACATAGTGCTCGTATCAAGTGACTTTAATGCCTAGGTAGCTAGTTTAAACCAAGCTGAAAGACATTTAGGTGGGCATTTTGGTATTCCGGCTCAGAGAACAGATAATGTTGACCGTCTGCTGCAACTGTGTTCAGACAATTGTTTATTTTCAACAAGCACTACTTTTAAGCATAAGGAGAGACATCGTCTTACATGGCGGCCGCCTGCCCTAAACCAACGATGGACTCAAATAGACCATATTGCCATCGGTCATCGTTAGAGAGGCTCAATAGAAGACTGTCGCTCTTCCTGGAATACCTATTTGGACTCCCATCATGCTCTAATACGAGCATGCATGTCCTTGCACCTCTCTGGACGCAGGAAAATCACATTGAGAAGACACATTACGGTTGAACTCAGTAACGCGAAAGCCAGACGTAGATTCCAGGAATAACTGAAGCCACGCTTAGGCGATTTTGAAAACAAGGCTGACCCAGATGTTGCTAGAAAAGATATACAAACAGCTGTGGAAGTAGTAGCGACATCTATTAGTGATTTGAACGAAAGGGTCACGTAAAACTAGTGGATTTCTACTAGGTATTGCACTGATAGATTCTCGTAAACTCATCAGACTCTGAAGAGGATGAGGAGCGAAAACAAACAAAAGTTTAAGAAACCATTTGCAGACAGCCTGAATGGCATATTGAAGTAGGTTCCCCGACTTTACAGAAGTTCAAAAGGCTATAGCTAATCTGAAACGAAAAAGAGCAGCTGCTCCAGATGGATTAACTACACAGGTCTTTAAGAATGGCGGTCCAATTTTAGCGATTAGGTTGACTAATATTGTACCTAAAATCTGGGAGTTAGACTTAATTCTATATTGTACCAAAAATATAATATTGAATAAAGCCATTAATAATAAAAAAATCCCATCTGACTGGTTCCAATCACTGATGGTCCCAATATATAAAAAGGGGTCAAAATCATCCTGTGATAACCATAGAGGGATTAGTTTAACTAACATGGCATCTAAAATACTAGCCTAAATAATTACCGGGTGCCTAACAAAGATTCGTGAACTGCGAACACGAAAAAATCAGGCTGGCTTCAAACCCGCTCGTGGCTGCATCGACCACATATTCACCATTCGTTAGGTTCTAGAACACAGGCGTGCTTATCGGCGTCCGACAATGGTGGTCTTCTTGACTTAGAAGCAGCATTTGGCTCTGTTGACCAGGAGGTGCTGTGGCAGTGTCTGTCACTGAAAGGCGTACCTCAGAAGTGCTTAAACCTTGTGAGTGCTCTTTACTCGAACACTACCAGTCGAGTCAAAGCTCTTGGCGAACTGTCATTTAATTTTGCAACGTCAAGAGGTGTCCGAAAAGACTGTTTATTATCTCCATTCTTGTTTAATTCCATCATGGACTTAGTGATGGATGCAACGTTTTTGTCGACTGAATTATCGGGGATTGATCTCCTTGCAGGAATACGCAGATGACATAGTCCTGTTTGGTGAGGACACTGATAAAATTCAGTATTTTGTTAGCACTGAGCAACAGTGCTAGGATGTTTGGGATTCGTTTCTCCTCCTCTGAATGCAAGTTGTTGTTTCAGGTTTGGCCTGGGTCATTATTATTCCTTGGTATTCTATTTGAGAATAGTAGTTTGATTAGTTTATACTTGACTAGATTTGGGTTTGTATACTGTCTATGCATCCGCGGCAAGTGAAATGTATTTCCGAATGTTGGTAGATGCAGACTACTTGGTTGGGGTCTGCGTGACCATTATTAGTGAATGATGGTAAATAAGTTGATGGTGTTGTAAATCTACATCGACTGAGATGGTTGGTTCACATGATACGCATGTCAACCACCGACTACCACAGCGCGCAATGATGACTAGTGTTGGGGACGGATGAAGGAAAGTTAGGAGGCTGCCAAACCAAAACGTGATATTGATCCGTAAAGTCATCAACTTCTGACCTGAGCCATGTTGGTAGATGCAATCCACTTGGTTGGGGTCGTAACCAATGGTTGGAGACTCTGGGTGATATGGCTCAGAATCGATTACAATGGCATCGGTATATACACTTTATCTTCCCTTAAACCGTGAGATTAAAATTACTTTGTACCTTTCTTTCTACGAGCGAATTATTTCCTTATACACAATCTTTTTTATATATTACTATCATTGAAGTAACTACTTCTATAAATTTGGTGTCCACGTTGTTGGGCTAATGAGGTATGACAACTTGGATCGGTGCATGTAAGTTCATTTTCCTACGTTGTAGCTGACATTATACACAGTCAAGACTAAGTTATTTATTTCTATGTTGTACTCTTCTAGTAAACCCGTCTTGCGAACAAAAATTTCTTCTTACTTTTATATCTTGATTACGAAATCTAAGTGCTTTGATGCTTCATGTCTGGTTGAACTACCCGCTTCTTTTTCATCAGCAGATTCTCTGTCATTGGTAAGTTCTCAGATAACAACTAGTTTCTGAGATAATTGACCGTTATTGCAAGTCTAAAGTTCCCAGTATCTGTATTGGGTTCTCAAGATGGGACCGACACCTAATTTCGATATACCAGTTGAACTCGAACTTCGGGCTTTATATTCATCAAAACCTTTTTGTGGGGTCTCTGTATTTACCTTGGCACACTACTCCACTAGCTATGGTCACTTATTATCCCTATCACAATGCGTTTACCGACCATTTACACAATCAATCTGAACTGTATTAAAGTACCTTGTCTATGCTTAATAGCTTACATGTTTGATGCTTCGTTCCGTGTTCCATTTTTACAAAAATATCATTCTGTGTGTTTTAGTCAGTAGAAATATTCATCGCAGCTACCAAAGTAAGTAACGCACTACTATACTCCATCTTGTATGATATGTTTCAGAGAAATCACGAAATATCTTGATTTACTGTTACTTAATTGTCACAAAGATTTATCGACCAATTTTTCCTACAGACAAATATAATCATAACATAGCACCTAGAACTAAAATTCCCCGCTTCAGATTAATGACTTATGACCCTGATAATTATCACGTGACAAAATCGCCAGTCAAAACATCAACTTATATGACCGCATCAATGACGCGTTAACCAGCTTGAGCAGCAACCTAGAATCAACTCGGAGTTTTTATTGGTTCTCTGTATATTGGCTTCTCGCCTAGCCCAACCCGTTCAACCCAGATCACAAATATCAGCCTACGCTATATGAATCGTATATTTCAACCATACGTGGTTTATTTACAATCAGACCAGACTGCTGAACACCATTTCTGGTGGTTTTCTTCTCTGAGTTGGATGGTTTGGTCGTAGAACTTTTGTCGTTTTCTGAACAATATCAGCACAAATTTCAGGTGAAAGTAAAGTGTTTGACTTTCTCCACATCTGACTCGCAGCTTGTCCTGTGGATCTCGATATTGACTGGCTATTGTTGACCTTTAACCCGTTATGGTTTACTTTGTTTTGATTGTATCATCATAAAATGTAAAATAATTATTATACAAGATCAAGCCAAAAGTGATTTTTGATTGTCGGCCTAAAAGTATTTTGGCTAAAGTATTATTCTCGATTGTTTCAGTCCACAAGGACTTTATTAATGTCTAAAATGTTACGACTTACATAGTTACCAACTTAACGTTCTTTTTCTTCATTCTGAAAATGTATTTAGTTATAAATAAAAACACTATCTATTGCTGTCAAATTATGTTATTCATCCAAGCACTATATGTATTTATATATGGCACATTCCTTAGTTAACATAAAAAATAATATCAACCACATGGTTCAAATTTAGGTTACTTGGATTCAAAACTGAAATCAATAATTTATTCACTGTTACGTGTGTATATTTATCAGAAAAATTATCCAAAATAATTCTGTGACTGGAGTTTCTCGGTATATATTTTTAAGATATTTGTGTACGTGTATGTTTTAGACAGCCTTATTTTTTGTCTACACCCATTGAATCTAATTGTTTATATATCAAATCTAAATAGGTTGAACGAATGGTCCAGACCTTTTTGGGAGAAACTGCTCGTACAGCTCAATTTGTGAAAGATTTTCTTGATCGTCGTCGGCCATTTTGGCAGTTGCATAGGAAACGACGGGAACAAGAGAATACAATCCAAGAATCAGCAGGTCAAAATTCTAATCAACCCACAAGTACAGTTCGATCAACTGAGAAAAAGAAACGTACTAACCCGAATGATACCGCCACTAATAATACACAGCGCCAGAATTCAAGCATTTGCAATGGACTGAGTTGGAATAAATCAGATTCTACTCACTTATCTAACATTGAACAAATTCAGGACAACCAGGTTGGAATTATAAGTATCTAAGTTTTTGCAGTTCTTCAACTGATCTGTAGTTTTTTTCACTCATCCAAATTTTGGTTCCTTCCCAGAAGATAAGCACTGTTTTTGTTGGTTGAAACTGTCAGAATCAAACCACTTCCGAACTTTTTTTAAAATTAAGCTTTTTACTTGTGGAAATGAAAATCAGCTAATGCCTGTTACGACGGCTGATAGGATATTGGTCATTTGTTTTCGTCATGTAGGCTGAGTTAAGATAATCGAACTGAAATTAAGAAATTATCTCAAATTTCTTATTTACTATTACTATGGATATTAAGTAGCTTGTGACAAACAAAGTCATCCATTGAGGAGCATTAGATTCATTTATGCGGATGCAGTCATGTTACATTTTGATAAATACTATTATTGGTTCAAAATAACGAAACCTTTAAACTACATTCTCTTTACGCTGTGTCCTAGTGCCCTTCTATTGTGGAATTTGCCTGTAAGGGAACAAGAGTCCATAATATATGCAAAATTGAAATAGAAATATTTAAAGCTTGTTGCGAGCGAAATAACTAGTTGTCTATTATCCAATGATTGATCAGTCAGTTTGTTCATATAATCAATTCTGTGACGTTAGTCCTGTTCTTTGGTAACAACATTGTACTTCCCCTCTGTTCTTGTCTGGATGTGTACAATTAAATAGGGTGGTCTAGGCGGTAAACAGGACATTTAACCCCCCTATTTTGGAGATTATAGTGTGAAATGCCTCAAATGCACTTCGTGTAACCACTAGACAGAGTGCCTTCTTAATACATATATCTTTAGTACCGTCAATACTTTTTGAAATAATGACGTATGTTGGCGAGGTATTTTTCTAAAGGAATTGGAAAATTGATGGGCCCATTGGTACTATTCAGATATACTACTGTGAAACTCTTGCAGTAGAAGTATAGAGGAAGGAACATTTGGTACAATACTTATTTCTTATAAAGTTTATTCATAGTGGATGGTGCTTGTAGTATACTGACAGTTCAGTTTCGTTAGACATAATTTTTTAACTGAAGTCTCGTATTTATTTGTGTAGAACGTTTTCGGGCGTATATTGATAACCTTTTGCCCGTTTGTTACTATTCATGGATACACTGTCTCATTACACTTCTCTATCTTTCTTCAGTGGCATCACATCAAACCTAAAGGAAGTCATAATCGTAAAAGCAAAAAAGACAAATCTGCGTGAAAATGTGTACACCCTTTTCCACTTTTCTTTCAACACAACTGAGCAACTAGCATCCCCATGTTTTTTTGATTCTATCGCTTATCTCAATCGCCTATTACTTTTTTTATTGGGTGCTGTTATAAGGAATGTAAATTGTCTACTTTTTCTCCTTGAGACTTTTATTCACTCTCTAATGTTATACTTTCTAGTGACGTTTGTCTTTTTTAAATTGCTTATGATAATCGTGACATAATGGCGTTTTATCTGCCGTCGTAATATTTGAGTTTTAGCCGGCTGTAATTTCTCTTTGATATATTTTCAAAGCTGGTGTTTGTGTGCGGTTTCCTTGAATATTATTTTATTTGACAGATGAATATGTGTATATATCACAATAATGGTTGCAATGCATACTTATTTTCAAAATTCTGTTTTACCTCCAATCTAAGTATTATATTATATATAAAATACGGGATCATAATTTATGAGCTAAGCTTATTTGTGTTAACCTGTCTACTCGTACACTCTTTCAAGTTTAAAATATCATTGAATCGACCATCGTTTCTGTACCATCGTCATTTTAGAAGCATCTTAATTCTGAAAATACTCTCAAATGAACCTACCATAAAATAAAAGTCTTTAATTTGTAAGCGGTGAGAAGTGATTGTGTGAGTAAACTTCAAACATAAAAAGTGACCATCTACCATACGTTTAAATCAATGAATTTTTACCATTCATGAAACTTAGAGAATTCTTCACCTGGTATTTTATCTGAAGGAAATTTATATTTGTTTCTTTACGTATCTGACATCCGTTTACTTCAAATAAGAATTGGAAATAATAAAGCTGCTCAACATAGTGAATCATTTACACCTTAGTTGATACCTTTTATTACCTTTTGTAAGTGCATTTTGATGGTAGCTGTGATTCTACGATTCAAAGGCATAAGTGAAATTTACAATATTATTTTATTCGATTACAGTTTGTTGCTTCTTGGCTCAAGACAACAATCACATCATTCAAATAATTAATACGTCTATTCACACAGCTTACAAAGTTTTGCTGCTTCTTAAAAGACAAATATCATATATGATATGTGCTAGTGAGAACTTCACTCTTATAATTTTCTCATGTAGATGATGACACCTGAATCATCTGTTTAGTCTTCATTAGGTTAAGTAACATTAAAATTCACCGATTTGTCGTTTACACTTGTTCGAAGAAAAGTAATTCGCAGAATGATTTATATTCTACAGATTCATTTATTTATTTTAAATGTTAGGAATCACTATTCAGAATAACTCACTACCTGTTATGTGTAAATCAAACGTTGGAATCATTTCGTGAATACCCATACGTTTACATCAATGTATCATTGCTTCCCTTGGTAGTGTTAGCTTAGTTTATGAAAGATTGCTTCTATAAGTTTAATTGTTTTTTGTGGAATTAGATCGTATGGATCACATGAGAGTCCATCTGAGCCTAACGATATGTCTAATAATTTGTTATAACCAGATGATATTGGCTTGCTCATGATTTTGCTTGAAATTTTTATAGCATATTAGCCATTCATGTTAAAAGAAGTCATAACTAGTCGTTGTTTTAATGTTTAAAATAAAACACTTCTGGAACATTTCTGAAAGGAAAGTGTATTTGTTATCAGTTAAATATTTAGTGTAACTTGTCTTCTCAACTGTTAGGAAACGGGTACTAGGTAAGGATGGCAAATCAGTTGATGAAGTAGTGAAACTTCAATTGAAATGGCTGGGACACGTTACGTAAAGCTTTTTACTTATGTCTTATTAGTCTTCTCAAGGAATCCATGTCTCGGTGCATACTGCTTTTTGACAAGCTATTCACTTTAGTGTACCATAAAGTTATTTGCCGAATTCAGTTGTCTTAAGTAATAAGACATACCATTTTGTACGTTTATGAATAAAGTATCACAGGCAGTTGCACTTGAATGTTAATGATTACACCGCTACATACATCATTATTTGAATCGTAATAAGGTGAGAATAAAGCGGCGGGTTCAGTGATTCTTAGCAAAACTTAAGTTAATTCTGTTTGAGGAGCGTAAACTCCAGCCTTGTTGTTTACAGAGTGATGAACATTGTCTGATTACAATAAATGATGAACTGAATACTACTCAAGACAACATTGCAAATCCCCAGGTGTCTCATATAACATTTACGATATTTTTCCCCATATTTGTACTCGAAACCCTGCAAACCACTTGACGAAAATAAGTAAACACGATAGTGATTATATATTGATTTATGACAGCTCCTCTAATACCATAATCAATTTTATGTTGATTTTTGGAAATTATCTTTTGCTTTCCAACTGACCTATTGGCTGCCCTGTCTTACATTGAGGTTAGAGTGTCTCTATTTCAGGTTGCACGTGATTAAACATATTTACGAATATTATTAAGTATAACCTACTTAAAGTTGGATCCCAATTATGCATAAGAATCTTTTATTTCTGACAACTAATCTAATGTATACTAGGGTGTAAATTCACACTGTGATGGAGTTCTTTACCCTTGAGGGCTGTAGCAACAAAATGTCTCATCAGTCATGCGGCCAAGTTTCCCATTTTATTTTTCCAGTAAAGTTGTTTAAAACATATGGATCTGTGATTCTTTACTAATTGAGCGTTCCTACCATATTTATTTCTCGTGTTGCTTTTTTGTGTCTGATTGGCAAAGTATCATGAAACTGTGGTTACATCGTTTTAATTTGTGAGAAGTATCTTTCCTTAGGATTTCACATAATATAATTATCAGTCCGCCACCTCCTTTGTCTGGCTTTTCAACTAAGGCTTTATGTTTAATATCCTTATTGTTTCTCTCTTGATTACACTGTATGCTTTACCTCTTTAAATCTGCAGAAATTCACTCGATTTTATATCATTCCTCAAAATCCTACTTATTAAAAACTGAATATCTCGAAAATCAGTTATAATTCGTCCAAGTAGCAGGTTGAGTTTTAGTGTTGATTCTATAAAATATTTATGATGGCAAACACTACAAAGTGATAGCGTGCTAATTTCTCTTTATATAGTATCTTATACTTTCCTTTTCCTTTTACTTACGCGGGTTGCACCACCAGTCTGTAAAAGCTCTGGTTTATATATGTGTTGACGATTTTGTTATATACTTGATTCTAAACTTACTGGTGACACAGAAAATGCTAAGTTTAAATAAATCAGACTATAAATAGACGCTTCATTGATATACGTTTAGTATTTGTATCCAAAGTCAATGATGAGAAACAAGAATCCACTTAGCGTCTTAGTAACTCACATCGAACGTCTAAACATGCACTTATCACTGCTTTCTTTATGTTTGACCAGTGTTTATCTGTAAATAAACTTAATTTAATCAGTTCCAATCATCCAGTAAAAACTAAGCACTCGAAGTTAAAGCCTTCATGATGCGACAAACTTGTTCATTTTTTTCCTGTAAGTGTGCACAGTGTGATAAAATTACCGAATGCCATAGTCAGTTGATAGGCGATATATTACTCGGGACATGTTGTTTAAGTCGAATCTGGTTTTCACACATTAAATGCTCCATAATAAAAACGGGGTCTTAACAGGCGTAACTGTAATATCTGAACATTCGTGTCTGTCAAACAATGAGAGTGGACCAGAAAATTATCAGTAGTTAATCTGAAATCTCATATATTCAAAAGCAATGTTCTCAATAAAATAATGGATTTTAATTAGTAACCCACGCAATAGATAGACTTGTCCTATGTTCACAAGAACCTGGGAACGTCATCTGGAGCCTTAGGGGATACATAGTAGTATTATTCTGTGTTAACATCGACGAGAAAGTCAACAATTGGGTTGAACTACTGAAATAAAATAACTATGTGATGACACGAACACATAAACACTAGACAATATTTGCCGAAATGTAGTATTTGTACGAACTAAAGGTTCCTTGGTACTTGATTAGCCGCTGATCCCGAATTCCAAATATATTACGTCCATTCGCGCTTACCTAGTTCTACTTGCTGTAAATCGCACTATTTCAGAAATTCCTAGTTAGTACAGTAATACGAATACTTCTGATCAACATATTGACGTCACAATCGATACACATTCAGATTCTGAAGTTTACCACGATTATATGAAGAGGTTTTTAATCTGGAGTATGACCGAGAAACATGTTGAGGACGATACGATTGGGGCTCATTTCCTCACACTCATCGGACAGGGTACCTACAGCTTACTAGAAACTTTGGCTTTCTCTGGCAAGCCTGTTGTACTCCCTTGCGCAACTCTCAGAGAACTACTACTACTAAACCATGTCAAGTGTACTAATTTCGAATGTCGTGAAAGAGTGAAATCTCATTAAATGATTCGTCAGAACGAACAAAAGGATAGAGAATTAATCCTTGAATCTCAAAAATAAGCCCTGTAGTGTAATTTTGATGATCAACTTCATGGTCAGCTGCATCAACGATTAATTCTAAAAAGATATTATACAAATACCGAAGTGTTCCTTTCGAGATGCTAGAACTGCAGTATATGAAATTTACTTCCAGGACATCAAGAATGCTACTACATTACTTTGTTGTCGTAATCCCATGTGCACTGTAGTTCCATGTAGGCGTTTGATTAACGATAATCCTCGTTCTCGTGGGAACATGAACAACAAATTGAGTAATTTCAAAACAGGTTACGGTGTTCACAGGTTTGGTAAGTGTTTATTTTGTGGTAAATATCACCTACATAATTCATTTGTCTTTTGTTATGCTAAATGCTTCAAGTGTGATAAGATGGGATACTTTAAGGTTTGTAAAACTGCTGTCCCTCTCACCGCAATTAATACTATGCTTTGTAATCTGGATCCTAATAATTTGTGTAATTTTAGTAATCATATAGTATTCTTATTTACAACTTCCAATATTTAACTTCAGATTCAAAAACGATTATATTTGTCCACCGATGCTTTCTATGATTTTGTTGACATTAACAGTATCAAGTCCGTCGTTTCTGTTGGAAATTTGAAGCCAATAATACTCGATGCTGTATTTAAGCCACTCATTTTTTTTACTTTGAGTATTCTTGGTCATAAACGTCCTATCCATGGGTGTTGTGACTTGCTGATTAGAGACGGTAAACTCTCGATCCTAAATTGTGAATTCCTCACCAGTGATTGTGAACCAACAATCTTGGGTCTAGAAAATTTAAGAATGCGTCGGGAGCAGCCTTCCTTAATGGCCACTGAAGACTTGATAACTTGCTAATCACAAAATCGGAATGCAAAGAATTGACAGCGCCTTAACCAGTAATGCCTTTATAATCGAAGTATGCCAAATCAGTCAAATCAGAAGTCAGGAATGAAGAACTTCAATGATCTTTTCAGAGGCTATCGGTATGTCAAGGAACGTTTGGTGTAAGTTGAC